CTCATGCGGATTTCCCCACTGCCTGTGCTCAGTTGGTCAGAGATGAACGCATGACCCCAGGTGGGCTGATCAGACCTCAGCCTCATTGGCATTCTGAATTGAAACTAGGGGAAGAGGGTGGTCCGTCTTTGTCAGTGAGAAGCTCAGACGTGCCACTCGGAGCCTAGTAGCTCCTTCAACAAATGTTTATTGAACACCTGTGTACGTGACGTGGTTCTAGGTGCTGGGGGTAGAGCCAGCAGTGGCCATGTTTCCGGCCACGCAGGAGACAGTTGCCTGAGAGAACAAAGCCTCAGCTGGAGTAAAGCGGAGGCAGACGGAGGAGTCCTGCAGCGTTCCATTCCCAGTTCAGGCTGTCTTAGAGAACCTTCCAGGTGTATGGGATAACACAACTGCTACCTGCTAGTTGGCATTATGGCCTGAGCTAGTGAGAGCTGGATTTTGGTCACTTGCATTTAAATGCTTGACTAAGATAAGGATGATACCTTCTTAGAGGCCAAGGCCTCAGAGTTCCTAATTTAAGTCCAGACTCACACCCACCCTCTTGCCTTGATGGTAGAAGTACTCACTCACTCATGAATTCATTTATTCATTCACTCACCTTGCGTTCACGAATGTTCAAAAAACAGCCCCTGCCTCCAGGAGTTCCCATCACATTCTGGGAAGACTTGGATGAGGAAACAAGACTACTTGAATTCTTGGCCCTCGCTTGTCTCAGCGGGACCTAATACCTTTGCTCATCTTCTTTTTTTTTTTTTTGGAGAGGTTTTTGCTATAGGGCATGTGTACTCGCCAGACAGACAGAGAGAGACATAGAGACAGAAAGCGAGAAATCACTCCCCAGGGGGGATGGTCACACCGCAATCCCTTCTCCTCTATTCTTCTCTCGAGATCTTGGGCACACATGCACATGCGCCCGGTGTGAGTTTTAAGCCACCAGGTCCAGGACGCGAACTGTGGTCGACTACGTGGGAGTCCAGTGACATAGCCATTACGCTAACTGCTGGTTCCCCTCATCTTCTTCTTGAGACACATTTCCCACATGTCTTCCAGGAAACCCTATCCTCCTGGCTTCTGCCAGCCACCCTGGCCTCCCTTCCTCGCCTTCCAGAGCTCCACCTGGGAGGGGCCCAGGTCCTCGCTCAGACTTCCTTTCTGTCCGTCCTTGGTGATCTCATTGCGTTCTTACCAGGAACCTGATGGTGCTTTATAAAAGCGCTTCTCTGGTGCCTACTGATGCCTCTATTTGCGTGACCTGGGCATCTCCAAGGGCCCTTCTTCATCCTCCCCCCTCTTTCCTCCCTAGTTTTTTGTCCCTGGGGCTGGCCTGTATGGACTCCATCCACAGGTTGAGCCCAGGCCCAGAACGGGAATGGGAAGGAAGCAGGGAGGGAGTAGTACTCGCCCCATGAGAGTTCGCCTGCGTAGGCTGTGTGCTGGTGCCAACCACGGACGTCGTCTGCACGACTCTCTCCTCCGGGGCCTGGTTGCCGCCTCCTCTCATTTCCTTCGGGCTTCTGAGTGGGAAGAGCGACTCCACTTTTCCTAGTCCCTGGATATTCCCTCTCCCTTATGAGACCTTTGCATTTAACCCGCATGTTCACAAGTGACCTTTGGAAACAAATCCCTCTCCAACACTGTAACTTGAGGGGCCGCGTGTGTTCTCTTGGGACCCAGACTAAAGTGGCAATTAGGGCTGGAGACGGCTGACCTCTGCGTCCGACGCTGCGGCACTTGATGACATTCCCTGGAGAAATTCGAGCTGATAGAAGGTGCAGAGAACCTTGGTACCATGGCGAGGCTGCTCCTGGGGTGGGTCTGAGGGACCAGGACTTCCCTTCAAAATACGGAGTTACACAGATGTGTGCCCGGCCTTCAGGCCTCTTTCAAAAGGGAACTGAGTGACCATAGAACACGCCCCTGAGACAACTGCCTTCTAAACGCGCCTGTTCCGGTCTTTACTTTGGCAATGTTTGCTTTGATTCTGAGCTTCTATTCGGAATGAAGAATACTGGCATCCTGGCCTGCAAGGGAATGGAGCTAAGTGAGAATTTTCCTTCAAAGAGTTGTGTTCGGAGTTCAAGGAACAGCTCCCAACGCACCTGCGAGCCAGGCAGCAGTAAAGTGCAGCACGAGTGGGAGAGGATTTGGTTCAGATGAATTAAATGCCACCCCTGTTCTGTGCCCCCTCAGCTCCTGCTCCCTGGCATGGTCTCCTAATACAGCGGGGAGACTGAAGACAACGCTGACGATGGCACCGAGGTGGCCTGTGGGATCGCTCTCCGCCCTCCTTTGACTTGACGGGCCTGTATCTGTGCTCATGATTAATTAAACGGGCTCAATAAAAAGACCACTTCTTGGGCCAGCAGGTGGCGTGGTGGTTCAAGCACTGGACTTGCACATGACCAGCTCTGCAGTTTGAGTTCTGGACCCGGTGACTCTAAAATCAAGTTAGGGCTGTGTGTGTGTGTGTCCAAAATTTCAAGAGGAGAATGGAGGAGAAAGTATCGGGGCATGGCCATCCCACTCTGAGGAATGATTTCTCGCTCCCTTTTCTGTCTCTCTCTAGTGAGCAAATGTGCTTTATAACAAAAACTTAAAAAAAAAAAAAACAAAAAACCCCCACGTCTTGGACTATAGGGTGGCATTATGGTGAAGGCACTGGATCCCACATGATCAATTACATGGTTCAAGTCCCAGACTGGCAGCCTCAAAAATGAGTTGGGCATGTGTGCATGTGTGCCCAAATCCTGAGAAGAGAATGGAGGTGAAAGGATTGTCGTGTGGCCATTCCCCTGGAAGACAATTTCTCATTTTCTTCTCTCTTTCTCTCTCTCTCTTGTTAGCACATGCACCCTATAGCAAAAACAAACAAAAAACTAAAAAAACTAAACTGAAACAAACAAACAAACACATGCTTTCTTGAAAGCATGTGTTTCCTCCTCTGATGAGGAGGGTGGGTGTGGGGGAAGCAGGCCTGGGAGAAAGGGCTCCAGGAAACCACTCGTGTCCAGAGTGGCAACCGGGTAGAAAGGACCTAGCTCCGCCCCTGCGTGGACCCCAAACCATGGCAACCACCTCCCCCCGCCCACCCCCACACACCTTGCCTAGTGGACAGGAGATGGCCTTGCATGCCAGCATAAGTAAACAGGAGTTTGTCTTAGGCTACGCAGGGGTGGCAGGGAGGCCAGCACTAGGAAGAGCGCCAGGGCCTCATGAGAGCCACATGCTGTCAGATGGGCCCGTCCTCTCTCATCTTCTCTTACCTTTTCTCTCCCTCTCTCTCCTTCGCTCTTCTCTGGTTTTTGGTTTCCCATTAATTTGTGTGTGTATGTGTGCATATTTTCTCCACTATTATCTGGCTCCCTCTCCCAGGGTCTTAGTTTTTGCTCTTTTTAGCATCAAAGCCAAGTTTTCCATCTCCATGGTATCATCTCCTGTCCCCAAACCACATCACCATGAGCTTCAACAACATACTGCTTGACAGCCCTGGGTTTCAAACCCCAATTCCTCAAATTCCTAACCCTAACCCTGCTTGGATCAGTTGGCTGCTTTGGCCCAGTTAGCGGTGGGGAGGGGGACAGAGGTCAGACGGCTCACTGAGCTGTATCATCCAGGCTGTGAAAAGGGTGGATTCCCTTGGGAGGGGCTATGGCTGGGATAGGAGTTAGGGTTGTGTTTGATTCAGGCAGCTAGCTCCCTTCACTTTCCATTGCCTCCAGTGAGTTCCTGGGTACCAAATTGAGGGCCATTTCCAAAGGTGACTTTAAAGTCAAATCAGCCAGAGTTTGAGTCCTCTCTCTGCCACTTAGGAAGTTATATCACCTCAAGCAAATTACTTAGTGTCTTTGCGTCTTAGTTGCTTTATATGAAATAAGGGGTTGTCAGAAAAGTCATGACACATTTTCACATAGGAAAACATAGGAAATACATCATGACTTTCCCAACAACCCAGTAGTGTCCATCTCATACGGCTGTTAGGGCATTAGATGAGTTGGTCTTATTGGAATGCATCCTGTGGACGATTAATAAGTGATAGCACTTACAAAAATCAGTTACTATTCTAGGACCTCGAAGAGCTCTGTGGACCCAAAGGCCAAGCTGGCTCTACACAAAGGGCCATTTGATAAGGCGTTGTGGGCTCACTTGCACTTGAAGGAAGGATAGTAATTCATGGTGGTCTAGAACTCCTGACTGAGGGTCCCTCCTGTGTGGGTCACTTAGTGCGGCCACTGCCACACCGTGTTATTATCCCCACTATATAGGAAGGGAATGGCTCAGAACACTGATCAAATTCATACCTTGGCTCTGTACCCAACTTGCCATGAGACATGGGGCTCATTACCCACCTTTTAATTACTGGGTTCCATGTCTGTACGGTAGAGACATTCACAACTCTCCCTCAAAGGATCAAGAGAGGTGCTGCCGGTCAGCTGCCCAGCACACACCTGGCCTTTAGCTAGCCTCCATAGGACTGGTAACTCCTGTAATAATGTCCGACATACAGAGACAAACATGGAATGAACATGTGATTCAGGTTGGTGAAGGGACAGGCAATGAAGGGCAAGTGAAAGCCACAGAATCTTGGGATCCTTTGTCCCATCTGAAAGGTCCCTAGGGACCAGCAGGTGGTATAATGGTTATGTCTCTGGACTCTCATATAGTTGACTGTAGTTTGAGTCCTGGGCCCTGGTGGCTTAAAACTCATGCTGGGTGCATATGTGTGCATGTCTAAGACCCTGAGAGGAGAATGGAGGAGAAGGGATTGTGGTGTGGCCATCCCGCCCCCCTCCACCCCCGGTGGGTGATTTCTTGCTTTCTGTCTCTCTGGCAAGCATATGCATCCTATAGCAAAAATCTCTCAAAAAAATTTAAAAAGGTCCCTGTGTCTTCCTCCACCCACGTGAGAACACACCTCCCCTTTGTCAAGAAGAGCTTCTAACTGCGGAGAGAGGTTGAACACTTGACAAGAATCAATTGAGCTTCCACAACAGAACATTTCCATTTTATTGTCTGTAAACTCTTCTTTGGTAAACAAGAAGACGAGAAACCCAAAGAGAACAGGAACACGCCGAGTAAAGAAGGCAAGGATAGGGCGGGTGCCCTCCTCAAACAGGAACTCTGAGAAGACAGCTACACCATTAGCCAGGTGGTGGTGGAACTTGGAAGTCTGGGGTGGGCGGTGGCAGGGGGGATTGGCAGAGGGGAGCAAGAGGGCAGAGTCCACTCTGTTGGACATAGAAGCCTAAATCATACAGTGAAAGAGCTCATGCATCACAGCAAAGAGAATTAGGGAACCTCCCCCGCAGCCCCCTCTGCCTCCGAGTGGTTGGTGACCCTCTGCAGGAAGAGCAGCATGGCTGGCCAGGGCTGGGTTAGTGGGGTGGGGCCTTGAAGCTGCCCACCAGCACCCCGTCCTCCACCTCTTCTTTCTTGCTCTGCAAGCTGGTGTGTGCAGGTTGCAGGGGCAGGGGGGAGGGATGCTCATGATCTCTGGGCCTGGGTAGAAGTGTCAGGGCAGCAAGGGCGGGGTTCTGGGGAGGTGGAAAAGCAGCCCCTGCCCCCCCTTTACATGGGGGGCTCACTGCAGAGCACGATCTCCAGGTCCTTGCGGTAGAGCTTCCCCGCCTCAGCCAAGGACATGACGCTCTTTCTGTAGTTGGTCAGCTGTTGGATGTTCATTTCCTAGGAGACAGAGGGAAGGAGTGAGAGAAGGCTCCGGGACGGCCCCAACCACACAAGCCTGACACAGTCACAAACACAGCGCCCGAGCCTTTCCTTTGTCTCATTCTGGTGTGAGTGTTTAGAGGAACACAAAGCATGGGCTTTGGAGTCAGGCAGACCTCGGGCGAAGCCCTCTCTCTCTCTCTCTCTCTCACTTACTGGCTGCATTACTTTGGGGAGAGTAGTCAGCCTTTCTGAGAGTCCGCTGCCACACCTGTAAGTTGGGTAGACTGCTGGCACTGGCCTCGCTGACGTGCTACGATTAGAGGAGACAGGGAATATAAACTACCCTTAGTACAGTGCCCATGGTAGTCACTGTGAGGACAGCTGTTCACGAGTGACTGGTAGATACTCTTCTGTTTACTCCAGGTCAACCTGGGTCCTTGCAGATGAGAAAAAAGATGCCAGGAAGGCGCTCTGGTCCTGTCTTCAGGCCCCGTGGACCATACTTCCCTAAGCCTCACCCATTTAAACAGGGGATTCTAATTCTGTCTCCTCCAACGACAAAGCTCGCCAGTCTACCTCCTGTTGGCTGGCTTCTGTGGTCTTCTGAAACCACTAAGACAAATGACCCACAGTCTAATATAAAATGGAGGCCCAAATTAAACACCCACGACCAACTGAGTACCAACACCCGCTATGCCTTGCGTTGAATATATGCTTTATAGTAACTGCTTTGGATACAAATAGTGAGTGGGTCTGCAGTGTGGCCAGCCCAGCGTCAACCCTGGGAAGTCACAAGAACAGCTTGTTTTCTTTCCTTTTTCCTTCCTTCTCTTCCTTCTTCTTTTCCTCTTCCTCTTTTTATCCCTTCTTTCTTTAAGTAGAGAGGTTCTCGCTATGTTATGATCCTCCTGCCTCAGCTTCCTGAGTGGCCGTGACCACAGGTGCGTAACCTTGCCTGGTTTTCTTAGGGTGGGTGGGAAATGGGACTCCCACGTGGCCTCAGTCTGCTGAGCAACAGCATCGACCAGGGAGCAGTGCTGTAGCCAGGCTCCTGACACTTGCCTGCCGAGAACACTGGCATTTAAAAAATATATAGACTTACAGTCTTATGGGTCATTGTCTTTATTCTGCGAAAAAGGAAACGGAGGCATGAAGACTAGGATATTCTCGAAAGAGTTGGACCCATGCAGAGTCATAAATACTCGGAGCCCTCGAACCCTGAAATCGAATTGTTTGCCCGGCTCACCTGTACTCAGCCACCTCTTTTTTCAGTCTTCGCTGTTCTGGGACATCTCATCTTATTTCTGGGTTTGTGACACTGTCCAGCCCAAGGGCTCTTTTCAAGCTTCTCTAGCTTTTGCATTGCGGGGTGGGGGCTCGGGGCAGGAGGAGGGAGACATCTTCCCCAAAGTTGTGACGTTTCTGGGAATATCACCTAATTCACAACGCTGGGTGTGTGTGAGCTCTCTGCCACTCAGGAGCCAAGGAAGAGACCCAGTGTATCAACCCCGAGCCTGAGAAGCCTCCCGCAGTGACGTGCGGCAGCAGGAGGCCGAGGCCACTGAGAAGGAAGGCCGCGTATTCCGTGTCGGAAAGTTTCGCTTGAAACAGGACCGTTTTAGCAAATTGCAATGGCCTTCGGCGTGCAGTGACATATGGAAGTCCCATGTCATCAGCCTGTCCCTCCAGGAGTCGCAAACATTAATCTGCTCAGAAACCTTATCACAGACCGGGCAGGCACCGTCACATGGAGTGGGCGTCTGCCATGTGCATTTCCCCAACAGGGCCTTTCCCTTCCCAACTCAGGCGCTGTTATTTACGGCCATGCAGTTCTCCCTGCTGATTCATGCCCCCAATTCCCAGGCGCAAAACGGGGAGCTCCGTGCGGGGGAAGGAGCCCAGGTAAACCGCTTTATTCGTAACCTTGTTCTCTGACCTTCCGAGTTGCTTCCAGAGCCCAACACCTGACTCTTCACTTTGGCTCCCACGTCTAGAGCCAACCTGTGCAGGTACATGAGGCGTCCTTTGTGTTACTCAGAAAGCAGCCTAATTCGTCCATGAGGAGGAAATTCAGGCAACTCTGAGTGAAGGCGTGCCTCAGGGCTTCTCAACCTCAGCTGTAAGGCAGGCCCTGGTGGAAACTGATGATGCCTTATTAATGCTTCTGACTCCAAGTAAAGTTAAAGGTATTGGCCACCACGGCACCCAATAGTCCTTGGACACACAAGGGTGCGGAAATCATCTCCTCTTAGAATTTGGTTGCCAAGTAAAAAGTTTACTGAGTTCAAACATCTGGTGAGCGCTTCTTCTCCCGAGGAAGTACTTGCTTCCTTGTATTTTATTTTCTGCTTTCAAAAAGCAGTAGTAGGTGGGACCAACAGTTAGCATCATGGCTATGTCGTTGGACTCCCATGTAGTCGACCGCGGTTCATGTCCCGGACCCGGTGGCTTAAAACTCACGCTGGGCGTGTGTGCGTGCGTGCCTGGGATCCTGAGAGGAGAATGGAGGAGAAGGGATTGCGGCGTGGCCATCCCCCCTGGGGGGTGATTTCTTGCTTTCTGTCTCTCTGTCTCTCTCTGTCTGTCTGGTGAGCGCATGCGCCCTAAAGCAAAAAAACAAAAACAAAACCAAAAAAACCTCTCAAAAATAAAAGCAGTAGTAGGTAACATTTAAAAAAAATTAGGATGAAATAAATGAAGGAGAGGACACAGGATAAAGATTAAGAAATCAGAAAGCACAAAGAAAGACAAACTCAGGCTGCAGGGAATGTTTTCCCGAAATTGAGCATTAAATTTAGCTCAGGCTTGGCAGCCAAGGCCGTTAGACAACCCAAGGAATTATTGAGCTTTCATCGGCTGATTAAAGAAAGCGGCAAAACCATTCGCTCAGTGAAAGACATTTTCCAGGAGGTGAAGGAAGCCAGCCGCAAAGATGTCTCCCAGGTGCTCCCACCCGACCCTCCTATCCAGTGCACCAAGATGAACCACTGGGGGGGTCTTCCTGGGAGCTGAATGGCAACACCAGGCCAAATAAAGTTCACCTCTTTGGAACAAATTCCTCGGTAGCTCCTTTGAGCCCCATCCCCGGCTTCAGACTCTGCAATGAATCGATTCAGAATAACCCTCTCCTCCCATTGGCCCCACTTCCAAACTCTCTTTCTATGGAAAAGTCTTGTATTGTTGGCAGTTGGGCTTGCAGTTCCCCCAGCCAGGCTGCGTCAAAACTGCCATTGCCTCGTGGCAGTATTCGCAGCGGCCAGCAGATAGGAGCAACGCAAGTGCCCACAGAGGAGGGACGGATCGACGAGACCAGGTCTACACGCGCAATGCGGTACCGTTCAGCTCTGACAAGGAAGGCCACTCTGACACACGCTACGACACGGATAACCTCGAGGACGCGGTGCTGTGTAAAAGCCAGTCACCGAAAGACCGATCAGATGAGGGGGGCAGAGGAGGCAAATGTAGAGAGGCAGGAAGCAGAACGGCTGCCCAGAGGCACGGAGGGCGGAGCGAGGGTCGCCCTGTGTGCCGGCACCGAGGTCCACCTGACAGCGCGACGCACGCCCTCGCGGCTGCATTTAAGACGACCCAGCAGCGCGGAAGACGGCCAACTTGACACCGTGTGTGTCTTACCACAGTTCGATTTTTAAAAAAATCAGTGGACCACAAGTGAAAAAGAAAACCTAAATAAATGAATAAATAAGGAACCCCACAAGGCTGCCATTGCCTTGCCTGCCGGGCCTGGGGGAGCAAGGGCAGCTCAGGCCGTTTCTCTCCACCTCTCCCCGCCCCGAGACAGCGCCCCCTCTGGGCCCCACCTCACCTTCTTGTTCTTCTCGTACAGATCCTTCAGGAGGGCGTCCAGCTCGTTCTCATCAATGTAGCCGCTTCCGTCCTGGCGGTGGGAGCACAGTCAGCCCTGAGCCTCGGATCGCGGGCCCCAGCCTCCCGGACCCGACCCCGGCCTCTGACTGCCCCCAGCCCATCCTAGGGAGCCTTCAGGGCCTGACCTTCCCATTGCTCTGCCCGAAAGGAAGTGTTCTGTTCTTTTAATGACAAAACAACTGGTTACTTCTACCAGTCATGGCGGGAATGGGGCACTTGAGTGCCTCCTCTGCCTTTCCTTGTGTTTTCATTTGCATTGAAAACGTAAAAGTGTGTGTGTGTGGGGTCAGCAGTTGGGGTAATGTCTATGTAGTTAGATTCTCATATAGTCGACTGTGGTTCAAGTCCCAGACCCGGTGACTTAAACTCACGCCGGGTGCGTGTCCGTGCGTGCCTAAGATCCCGAGAGGAGAATGGAGAGAGGGGATTGTGGTGTGGCCATTCTCCTGGGGGCTGATTTCTCTCTCTCTCCCCATTTTTCTGGAGAGTGCATGTGTTCCATGGCAAAAACCTCCCAAAAAAAAAAAAAACCCATAAATGAGGAACCAACAGATGGTGTAGTGGTTATATCACTGGACTCTCCCACATGGCTGACTGTGGTTCAAGTCCTGGACCCGGCAGCTTGAAAATCACGCCGTGTGTGTGTGTGTGTGTGTGTGTGTGTGTGTGTGTATGC